TAATCACCTTACGCGGCTGTTCGCCCGAGAAGAATTTATTGAAGAATAATCTTGTTGCTACATTATCTGTGCAGATGAAACAGCATCGTTACATAATATTTTAAAACCGAAATGAAATAACCCTGCCTTATTTTCAAAAATGTCAATTGAATCATCGAATCGAGAGGTAACATCACTAATTCGCTTATTCTAGGTTCCAAAACTTGCAGTTCGTATAAATACGATTAATGTTAAATACTGATGAGTATTTGAACTCGGTTACATTATAAAAAACCCAGAAAAAACGTGATCAGGATAGAATAGTAGGAGTGAAACTAGTTTTGATTGATTTAAGGATTTGAGGTTCTCATGACAGTGCGGCTTTTAAGGTTCCATTCAAGTCATCTTTCTGGACATTTCAACGAAAACCGTGAATGTTAAATATTGACAATTGTGCTTACTCGTTGAAAAGGACTCAGCAAGCGGTGTGTTGTCACACCTAAGTGCCCCCAGGACGATGTTCAGTGTGCCGTAAACCACTCACACACCGCACACGAAACCAACCAAGTCTAAAACCACAGCGAACAAATCACAGCATTCCTCTGGGAGCCCGGCGAAGTGCCCTCGTGACACCGCGTCTCAGCCAACACACTCTTCTTAACCACAACCTCAGAAAATACTTGGACCTCAGAGGAACGAAGTTCACAGCCAATTTAGGACATCAATTAAAGAAAAACTCAGCGAGAAACCTCAACTCCGACGAATTACGACCACACATAACAAATATATAAAGTTTCAAATATTATTATTATTATTATTATTATTTAGTGTTCTGTCTGACGACAGGTCCATATGAACAGGATCCTTCCATCCTTTTCTCGGACTGGGACCTGTTCATATACGTTCTTGGCAGATGATCCAGAAGTGGTTTGCCATTGCCTTCTTCTGTGTGTGAATGGAGTAATTGTTGGGATGCCACGGAGGAAAACTCCGTGTTGCCTAGACCACGGCCTTGCCCAACACAAGTTACAAATTCGGGCACCGCCGGGAATCGAACCCGAGACCCCAGGATTACAAGGCCAGCGTTCTAACCGCTAGACCACCGTGGCTCTAGGGAAATATTAGAAGAGCTTATTTAAATTGTCTTCCATCCAAAATATTTCGTAAATTCTTCAGACGTGTTTAGGATTTTACATTACAACGTTCTCAAACCAAAGAATACAATTATTTCTATAAGTCTCCCCATGGGAGGTGGATTTTTAATCGAAATATCATTAATCGATTAATTGTATATCGATATTCGACTGTATCGATCTTGAATCGACTCTTCTAGCAATACACAATTTACATAATCGACGGACCATTAAATGTAAATGTAGTTGAACCAGTTTCTTGCAAATTCCAGCGGAGTTACACATGAATGCATACTACGTGATCTCAAATCATTTCTCGTGGGTATAAAAATGCATAATGGAGGTGGATGTGTGATTATACGCCCTGTGCTTCACATCACGACGTTTCGGTCACCTACATTAATTAGCTTAAACCACTATTTACTGTCTCGTCTGTTTGCACGTGCGAAGACTAGATAAAGATTTCGCTGCAATGAAAATGATATTAAAATATCCCCGTTTCTCGATGGCATCGAAGTAAACTTGTTTGACTCGCTGGATACAAAGTAAAATATCGATATATCATACGAGGAATTCTGATGATAATCTGTAACTCGAGACGTAACATTCTACGAAAGTAGTTTACTTCAGTTTTATGACTAGGAATGCAAACTACAAATACGAAGTATCATCAGCTTATTTGAGATAACATTCAGACGGAATGTAAGTGCTTCACTAGTTAAGGAGCGTAAATATAAAGATAATTTTATGTTAAATATCTGGAAATGAAAAAAACAAATGAAAATTATATTGATGAAAAAATTATCATCCTATGACCAAACCTCTTGTCTTTCACAATCCATCCTATAAATGTAAAATTGTAGCTCTGTTATATAAAGTTATGTGCCCTTCCTAAAACATAACTGCATTTTTAAAGGGGGGAAAACCAAAAAGGGAGAACAGTCGAAAGAATTGAAATTTTTTTTTGATGAATAACTTTTATGAGTTAAGAGGTTTATATTATTTACTGAGTTCATTAAATAAAAATGTAGATTCGATCTAATAAGTAATACGCACAGCAAAAGATTATTAAAACGAGTGATATATGAATAATAAATAACAAATTTCATCACAATTATTTATTTTAATCCGTCTTATCACAATATTTTAAAATTTCTTATAATTACGATAATAAAATATCATTGATGTTCCATATCGATTGATCGATTTACATTTC